AGCTCGACTTTTCATTTTAGAAGAAAAGAAAAAAAGTGAGGAAAAACAAAATAGAACTTTTTGGGGTATTTTTCAACCGAAAAGAACTTATGAAGTGGAAAAATGAGATGATACTGTATTTATAAGGAGAAGTAAGGAAGGCCTTGAAGCCAAAATTGGAATTAATTGAAAGAGTACTAGGTTTAGAACGATTTATTCCCTTTTTCCAAAGTTGTTCTTTTAAAGAAAAATATATGTATTATTATTAGTCAATTCAAGACCCATGTTTTAAACAAACACAAACAAATAAAAAGGGATAAGAAAATAAATATGAATTAGTTGCGGATCACAAACATATGGGGGACTTTTTTGATAAAGTAAAAATTTTAGGTGAGTTTTGAAATATTAAAATAGTTCTACAGGTCATATTTGGGGTCAAGTTTTAATATATTAAAATAGTCGAAGGTCATATTTTAGGGAAAAAATGAAATATTTAAATAGTCCCAATGGTCATATTTTGGGTCAAGTTAAATCTGTAGCTATTTTAGAATATAAAGATTTGGGTTTGAAAATCTTTCGAAAAATAGACAAATTTTGTAAACAGATAGATATTTAAAAAAGGAAAAAATGAAATTTGACTGATAACACAGGTTAGCAACAATATAGATTTGACTATCCTATATTTTTATTCGTACATGATAAAATTTAAAATGTGCTATACAAGGGCGGAATTGTGTTATACTAAGGGGTGTCACATGACATGGCTTCGTTGGAAAAAATTATTAAATACCTATATAATCAAAAAATTATTAAATACATATGTATAAATAAAAGATAAAACTTAATAAAGTGACACTACTTATTAAAAAGTCTTGTGTTCAGTACTCCTTTACTTCATTTATTTTTATTTTTTCACCTCGTATGAATTAACAAAATTCTGAACCAGCTAGTCATAATTTTTATACCTCAATTGTTTGGTGCCTAATATTTACATATTCCATTCATATTTTTTTTTAAAATGTTTAATGTTCCCTCCGTTCATCATTATTTATTCAATATACTAAAAATAATTGTCCAACTTCACTTGTCTAGTTTGGATAATTAAGATATAAGTGACTATTTTGTGTCTACTTTACCCTTGCAATTAAACAATATTTATTGATCGATCTTATAATTAATAAGGGTGATATAGTGAAATACCCCTCTATTTATTATTTCATAAGGGGTGTGTCAAGTCAAACATGGACCAGTAAAAATATGGAGGGAGTATTACTTTTAATGAGGTTTATTTGAATCTATTTCAAAAATGAAAATTCATTGAGCTAAGGGATATATACGTGGATTGTACTTTACTTGTATTGTATTCTATTTTTAATATGACTTAATAATATATATTTTTAATTAAAATGTGACACCGCTTATAAAAATTTCTTTGTACGCCATTGGTGCTATAGTTATGTAGGTATTAGTAATATATACATTATTTATGAGGAAATTTATGTTACAACGATATTAGCTATTTTAAATTTTATCTTGTATATATCGGAATATATGATGGTCAACTTTACATTGTTGTTGAGCTGTAATATCAGTTGAGTTTCATTATTTTTTAAAAATATTTGTCTGTTTATAAAATTTATTTATTTTTTGAAAGATTTAAAAAATCAAATCTTAAAATTCCAAAATATCTTCAGACTTTATTTTGACCCAAAATATGAACGTTAGGACTATGGTTGTTTTCAAATCTATAAACCAAACTAATAAAATATGAGTTTTTCAACCTAGAGTTTTTCTTTGGGGGGGGGGGGGGTTCAGATTTTTTGGGTTTTTTCGATAAAATATTCATACAAATATATAATTAACTCGTGCTTCAACTAGTTTTTTAGTTCTATCAAAATATAACTATATAAGGTGCCTCTTAAGAAAATAGAGTAACACAAAATATGAGGTGAGTTATGACACTAAAATATTCAACAAAAAATAATAATGAAATCACATAAAATAAATATTACAAATTAATAAGTCATAATGAAGATGATCATAATTTAAAAGTATTAAATCATGCTAAAATAAGTCTAATAAGTATTAATTACATGACTAAATATTAAAGAAACATAAAAATTAAGTTATGTATTTTTAATTATCTAAATCAATGTGAACTAAGAACAGATAGTCAACATTATTGTCATTCTTAGTGTAGAATTGATTTTTTTTTTATTAGCATTAGTGTTGATTTGATTTTCTTATTTGAGTTTTATTAGAGTTACTAATATCTATGAACTATAACTTTTATTGGACCAATCAAAACTCTAAGTCTCAAATTTGAAATATCTAAAAATAAATTGTTTTTAACGGCAATGCAAAACAGACTCTTAATCCAATTAAATTATTCTCCTAATAAATAAAAATTGCTCAAAAGAATTGGTCAACATAAGATCAAAGTCATAAATTACATATCTTTTAAGACGATAACATCTAATTTGGTATCGAATCCGTCCTTATTTAATTTCATACCAAAATTGTTGTTGCTGACAGTAAATAATTCTCTAATTCAAACTATTCAAAGTTTTACCAAGCCTTAATTTTCCTACAAATAGGAGTTAATCTTAGGCAAAGAAACATACAACAACAACAGAGTCATTTGATCCTCCATATCTAAACAAACACATTTTCCCTCCTCTTTCTCATTTTTAGCCATGACTAGAAATATTGGTTTGATTGAAAATATCACAAAGAGAAAAATCTCGTTCAAGAAAAGACATAAGACCTTCTTGAAAAGGGCTTTTGAACTCAACACCATTTGTGATGTTGAATTGGCTATCATAGTCAATAGTCCTGACCATGACGAACCTAAGATATTTCCAAATAATGATGATGTTATAAGTAGCTTTGAAAAATTTAGAAATTTTCCGGCGAAATCCACGATGACACAAGAAGAGTTAACCAAGCAAAGGATCGAGAAAATAGAAGAACAACTCCAAAAGGTAAGAAAAAAAAAACAGGGTCGAGGAGTTCACAAACAAGATGTATGAAGTGTTGAATATAAATGTATCCTTCAATACCTCAACAAATGAATTTTACAAGAACTCCTGAATTTGCACCTTCAATGTCTTATTCATCAATGATGTCTCCTCCAATGTTCCCTTTAATGACATTACAAGTGGAACCTTTAATAAATAATATCCCCCAAATGGATGCAGTAATGCCAATGAATAACGATCAACACTACTTTATTGGTGATTAACAAATGTTGGACTGGAGTGTCGATGATATAATAATAGCCTTATGTGATGATTTATTTGCCTTTCAACAACAATAATGTTCCAGATCCAAACAACACAAACACTATGTAAGATCAATGTGTCTCTTTTAATTAATAAGTACTATTTTGCATGTCTATGTCATCTTTTTGCATCTCTTTCATTGTGGTCTCATTTGAAGTATTTGTCCGTCATATTTCCTTTTTTTTTCTATGCCTGTTATTTTATTTACTTGTTAAATTTATGAATTTAATGTTTATTGGTACTCAATATATGTTTTTTTTATTATTGTTATTATCATAAATCGAAAATGATTTTTTTTTTTAAAAAGAAGTAAATAACACTCGTCTAAAATAATATGCATAAAGATTGTAATGACTAATGAACAGCAAAAGTTAAAGAATTCTTTCTTATTTTAGAAGCAAAAGTTTCCGAGACGCAATTTTAGTATGAACAATACTTTCGAGTTTCGAGAGGCAAAACTAAAATATTTGGAATATTGTGTCTTACGGATCAACTAAAATCAAGTTAAAGATGTCTAAATAATTGGGTGTTTTTTGGTTGCTAGTAAAGGCCACATTAAGATGTATATTTATATATTGTGTCATTTTAGAGACTCAAGTATAGCTTTGTAGCATAATCTTCCTTCTGGTTTATGATATTATACTTATCTCGATTTATTTATAACTTCTTTTAACTTATTTATCATTAAATAATATATAAAAAAATCAACATGACTAATTTACCCTTTTATAATATTATATTATATTATTTTGATTGCTTTATTTATTGAAGATCTTTCTAAGGAAATTCAATTAATCTTTTTTAAAAATAAAAAAAGACACTGAACAAATCTCTTCTAATGTGGGTGTGTAGTAAATTCATTTTCCTGAGCATTAATAAATCCATGGACTACTCATTAATTTGCAACCAGGAAAGTCAATATGAAAACTGCGGAGAGTAAATTGTATTTCTTTTTTAAAAAAATGGCAGGTAAGCAACAACTTTGAAAATGCACTTCTAATCACTTCAATTTGACTTAAATTGACCCGATAATAAAAATCTTTAATAAGATAATTTAAAAAAAAAAATAATATAGGTAAAATGCTGAAGTTAAATAACAATTTTCTTATATATATAATTAAAAAGTTATCATATAAACAAATAATTAAAAATGTTAAGAATGAAATAGACAATATTGCATAGCAAAAAGAAAAAAGAATATCTATTATTCAAAATTGAGAAGCAAGTTAGATTTTTAAAATAAAATCAAGGGGTCTAATTAGTGTTTGGCAATAAATATTTTCCAAACATTCCTTGGAAAATATTTTCTATGAATAAACAAGTTCTTTAAAAATGAGGAAAATGACTATGTGACAAATTTCCTCCTCACTCACCCAATCCCCAACCCCTACACATAGGCCATCCCCCCTTCCGAACTCCCACTCTCCATCTCATCCCCTTTTTTTAGTGTTTTCTATATAACATATAAATAATTTTGAAATAATATGTTCTTACTTACTTATCAATACTAAAAATAAAAAATAAAAAGTCATCCACTTATTTTTTTAAAAATATTTCCTAAAAATTTATTTTGTGTGAAAACATTTTCTTTCCTACCAAACACACCCTAAATGACTTTCAACAAGAAATAAAATAAAAATGAAGATTAATACAAGAATATTTTTATATATTTATTTAAAAGATTGAGATATAAAAAGAAATGAAGCGGTAAGATTCATGATCGGACATATCTTGGTAAAATACTCGTTGAATTTGTCAGGGTTACAAGAAAAGAGGAAAACAAAAAGCTACCCAAAAATTAAGAAATTGTGTGCCTGCAATTTCACGAGGTGAATTTTGTATCTCTAAGATTCTTCTTTTCTTTTCTTTTTCTTGTTGGTGAAGACAAATTAATTCATCTCTTGACAAAGGGTAAAGTACCGTTTCAACTTTTTTTATATTATACCTAACAAGAAACGTCTGATTTTCATACCTGTGTTTCTTTTGTTTTATGGGGATGAGATGTTGTTTTCTAATATGATGTTGATTAATTTTTCGGTTGAGTTAGGTCCAAATTTTGTTATCATAAAATATTATAGTTAAACCCATCTCTATTGTTATATTTTTCAATATTGGGCCTTTATATTATTTTATTCACTTTATCCACGCTCCTGGTGTCCAATCTTGTCGTGTTAGGTCATTAATTGTTGGAAAGACTAGGTGTAAATGTGTTTGTCTCCTTACATGGTCTTAGTCCATTTTCATGATTTAGTTTATTTAGTTTTTTTTTGTTAATGAAGTTTTTTATGATTTTGTTTTTGGGTGAGTTAAGTCTAATGTTGATTATCTTAATATGGTATTAAAGTCACCGTCTCCATAATTGTGTTTTCCGATATTAGGATTTTGTTCATGTTCTAGATGCTTAATCTTGTCGTGCTAGGTCGTGAATTGATGTCCCATATTGGTTGAGGGAAAATGTGTTTATCGTCTCCTTTATGGTTTTAGTCAATTTTCATGATTTAGTTGTTGAGGTTGAGTCAGACCTATGGTCCATAGGTATCAGAGTCACCATCTCTATTGTTGTGTTTTCATGTTATATTATCGACGCTTTAGATACCTAGTCTTAGCGTGCTAGGTGTTAATTGGTGTCTCCAGATTTGTTGAGGAAATGTGTTTTTGTTTCCTTATAGTTTTCGACTATCCTTTCCTCCTGAGCTACCTTTGTGGCTGAAGTAAACTCAAGGTCTATTTTCACCCAAGCTAGATACGTCTTCAAAAATTCCAGTTCCGAGTGTGTGGGGATTGCTATATATAGTCTTTTCCAATGCCCCATGTAATGTTTAAGTTGTAGTCTTGCTTTTACTGTGTTCTTGATGACTTCGAGTTATTATAATTAACTTACATCCTTGTGGCTTTATTTATGGCCAGATCAAGAGGATTAGACCTTCTCTGCTTCTCATGTCACACAGAAACCTTAGGTAATGAAGGACAGGTCATTGGAACTCAAAGGGTGGCATAAGCAAGTGAGCAGATTTCTAATTTCTTTATCTTTTTTTCTAGTGTTCGGAACTTCCAAATAACTTCAAAGGGCGGAGTGTTATTTATGGATTCACATGAATTCAGTAATTTTTATCCATGATATATGTATTAAGTATTGGCAAAATACTATGGTATTTCTAAAGTTCTTGGACAAATAACAACTATGCAAAGATGACAAGTTTCAACTATTAATTGGCTTGTTTTGGAGATCACCGACCCATGTCAACCTCTCAACATTTCGCCACCTTTTCAAATACCTATAAATAACTGAGTTCACTGTAAAATATTTATAGAGATTTACTAGATTCTAATAGTAAATGTTATTTATTTATGAGAAAAAATAAGTATAATGAAGTGATGGTTAGGCTCATTCTTCTTATGTTCAAGCGATAAAGACAATATGTTGTTATTGTATATATTGACTTAATGCCATCTTTATAGCCTATACACTTCAAATCTTGAATCAGCTTCTGATAAGTTCTTTTGCAGGTTGTTTGCAAGAAGTCCAAGAAACGTTGAAGGTACTTGTTATTATTATATTTCTTGTCTTGTACTTCCCCTCCTCAATCTGAACATGATATTAAATTTACTAAAATCTGCTTGTATAATGTTGTTGTAGCTGTAAAAAGAAAATGGCAATGATGCACAATCTTTATGGTCAAATTGATTTGGCTACATCTGCCAAATATCGAGCAGAGGAGGTCCTATCAAGATTGAGCACAAAATATCCAAGCTTTATGAAGCCTATGATCAGATCAAATGTTAGTGGAGGTTTCTGGCTAGTAAGAATTAATCTATCACCCAAATTAAGCAATTTCATATAGTTGACTAAAGTTCAATCCACGTACACCGACAGTGTTAAGAAATTTTACACTATCAGTGTAGTTTATCAGTTCATATTTGTTGTATATAAAAGTTATCCTTTTTGTGTTTTGTTAAACTCATTTGAATATGTTAGTGATTGATTTGCTTCATCTCTTCTTGGGCACAGTCTCTTCCAAGGTTATTCTGCCAGCTGCATATGCCACGGCATGATGTAACCGTTACTTTGGTAGATGAAAGTCAGGAAGAGTACAAAACAAAATATCTTGCTGAGAGGAATGGACTCAGTGGTGGATGGCGGGGTTTCTCGCTTTCACATGGCTTAGTGGAGGGAGATGTTTTAGTTTTTCAGTTATTCAGATTCTGCAAATTGAAGGTCAGAATTCGAAAATCGTCCTTCTGTCTTCTCTAGTAATCTGGTACATGTTGCTCTGCATTAGTTGGATGGTTTGTGAATGAAAAAGGAGTTCAGCAGTGAATTGTGAGTTACTGAATTGGAGCTAAAACATGAATGTTACTGTAAATTGTTCTCTGATATGATTTCGAGATCAACTTTTGCACATGAACTCTGTGAACCAATTTTACAATACGAGGTCGTGTGAAAGATAACTACAGATGACTTCCAATTACGAGTAGAATTAGTAAACTGAAAAATAAAGCAACCTGGGAGTTCCAAAATATTGCAATTTCTTTTTAGGATGTCAGTGTATATGAGTCAAATACTTCTATGTATTCTGTGTTGCTTGTTCATTGCTGTTGACATTGTACAGGTGTATATGGTCAGAGCCAATTATTTGGCTGAAGTTGACGCCGCACTTGTTCTTCTCCATTTAGATGCTCACCATAAACAAATTGATCCTGGTTAGTTTTGTAACCCAGAGAAGATATTTATAGTCCCCTGTATGAATCTGTCCTGTTTTTGCCATTGTTCTTACGTTGATGTGTCGAAGAGCAGTGCACCAAAGGCAGCATAATATAAGTATGAAACAAGTTGGGATCAAGCGTCAAAGACTTTCCTCACAAGAAGGGGATGATTATTCTACAGAAAACATGTTACACAAACATAGTCATTCGAGGAATATGTTCAAGAATCTTGATTTACCTTCAAAAGGTTCAAACTTACTCCCTCTGTTTACTTTTACTCGTCTCTATTTCAAAAATAGATTTTCACTTTTAGTTGTTACTTTTAGCCTATCAAGAAAAACAGTTATTCTTTTCCTATTTAACCCTCAGGTCAGGCCTCAACATTAAATACTTATTCCCCAAATTATTTTTCAAGACCTAAGACTATACATCAAAATATGGACATTGTGATAAAATATTCATATTAATACTTGTTTCTTAAAGACCGTGCAAAGTTCAAAGTAGACAAGCAAAAGGGAACGAGAGAGTACTACATTTTGCTTCAAATGACGTGAAAAAGGACAACTTTCCTCTTGCACTTAACTTCAGGAACTACTAACTAGGCCTGTTTCAATAATTTAGAGGCAGATTGGGCCAAAACCTTTTGCACGCCAATTTTTTGCACCAATGTAACAGATGTAAGACATACGTTTTGCATATAAACATTATCAACCCGTCATTGGTTATATGGCATATTCTCTTCAATTTGTGACTTCTAATGTTAAATAGGTTGCATTTAGTATAACATTGAGTGGGATTTATGTAAACCTTGTTGATTTGCTGCAGGACTGGACTATGAAACTCTTAATATTGTAGATGCTGTAAAAGCCAGGAAACTCAGTGACCCTCCAAATGGTACTTTCTCATCCTGGAACACAAGGCCAACCGTACTTGAGCAGTTAGAGATCAGACCATTTTCGAGTGGGTACTCCATTGAACCAGCTTTAACCCTATCAGGGGCAGAAATGGTATTTAGGCCGTGAACGCGGTTGCTCCTCTTATCCTTGACTTTAACTATAGTGTTGAAGTTGTATACAATGGATTGTAAAATCTTTTTTTACACCAGTGTGATTTTAGTTATAGCATGTCATTGCTTTATTATCCGAATTACAATATTAGGCTTGATAGGAAGAGTTACGTGTTAATGTAAATCAACTTAACCTGATAGCGTAAAATTTTGTTGGTCCATAGAACATAAACTTCCCCAGGAGGAGTTTTCACTTTGAAAGTGTATAGTCTAAGCAAAGTGGCCTGTTCTATTTGAAAAGGTTAATCGTTTATTTCCTTTGTTTTTATATTGAGGGGTAGCTGCCTAGCTGGTGCTAAATTGAACACTAATAAATTTAAGAAAAGAAAAAAACTTTTAAGAAATTGACACAAGTAATCATCCATCAAAATAATTGGCAATAACGGTATGTTTTTTTGTTTATTTATGCCTGACATACATTTTTTGTTCATAATAGTGTGTATTTTTTTTTATATTTGACTTGCGAAATCCACTAACGGTGGACAAAAAAAATTACAACATCAGCTCATTTTTAGAAATATTTATTTCTCTCAATTTAATTATTATATTTCATATTTAAAGATTAATGATTATTTTAGCTTCTCTTTTTTTTTTAAAAAAAAAAACACCTTCTACAAATTTAAGATTTTTTTTTAATAACGTTCAAATATTTTTTATATTATCGACTTTGAGTATTACTTAAATAAATTGGTTTGAGTATTACTTAAATAAATTGGAATACATATGAAGGTATATTGATCAAAGTTTGTTTTCAATTAATTTTTGTATTGTCAATAAAATGAACTAAGAAGAAAAAAGATAGTCTCAAGCAATGGAAGCATCTATCCAAAAACTTCTTCATGTTAGAAAGAAGACTTAATAAGTCATGAATAATTTTTTTATGAGATCAATTAGTCTAGATTTTAAAAAGAATAAAAAAGTACCAAAAAATAATGAGGACAAGAAAGCACCAAAAAAATCTTCTTATCTTTGGCAACCAAAGAAGAATCATAAACAAATCTCTATAATTAATTTAGAGTTTAAGTTATCATATAATACTTTTTTTTTATTATTATTTAAATATTAATAATAAGTAATATATTAAGAAAAATAAATATTTCTAAAAGTCGGTGTAATTTTTTTTGTCTACTCGATGGATATAAGTTAATCTTTTTTTTTTTTAATCAATTGGCCAAATTTGAAACTTGGCTACAAACTTTTGCCACATACCAACAATAACTTTATGGGTGGCTAGATAATTGGTTTGAAATGAGTTATGTAGGTATTAAATTCTCCACAAGTAATGTCATGTTGGGTAAATGGTTAGAAGGTAGATTATTCATGTATAAAATTAATACGGTGTTTGATTTACAATTTAGAAATTTGCATAATTAATATATGCATAAGTTATGAGGGATTCTACTTATTATTTTATGTAGGTATTAGATATGGTTAAATTTTTTGTAACTAATACATGCATAAAATAATATATAATATTCACTTATGATTAATCTTTGTATTACTAATACATGTTTAATTCTAACTAGCTACCAAACGACCCTTAAATTCTAAAAATTATTAAGAATATTCAATCGTACCAAACAAACATACTTGTTAATCATGTATATGTAAAGAGATATCATTCATTATCAATTAATTCAATACACTAGTTTTAACCAAACACAAATCAATAAAAAGAGAGGGAAAACGTACATATGAATTAGTTGTGATCATTAAATAGATAGGAGACCTTTTTCTAAGTACAAAACTTTGGGGCGAGTTTTGAATAGTCTCAACTCTCAACGTCATATTTTGGGTCAAAATGAAATCTGAAGTCGTTCTTGGGATTTTAAAATCTTTTGGAAAATAGATAGATTTATAAGTAGACATATTTTTAAAAAAATAATGAAACTTGACTTTTAACACACTCAGCAACAACGCAAATTTGACAATTATGTATTCCTATACAAGATAAAATTCAAAATATCTAATTTTCTTCCTAAATTGGCCTTTATGCTACCTAGATTAGAACACTCCTAAATGATTCTTCTCATCGTTATCTAATCAATTAATCATTCGGTAGAATATATTCGGAAAAATAATGCATGCATTAGCCTTGTGTATTGTTAGTACCTTGTTTGGTACTCTCTTCTAACCTATGTATTAGCTATACACTCTATAGTGTATTAAGGTGTGTATTACTAATACCATGAATATTTAAGTAGTGGCGTACGCAGAATCTTCAGTAAGCGGGGTCGATATTTATGCAAAGCAAGTTAAAAATATAACTATCGCATTTATAATAAATTATATCGTTGACTCATTGGTTTAAATTATTTTTAAGCTAAACGAGGTCTTGGGTTCAAGACTACTTAACCACATTTTTAAAATATGAGTAAAATATTTTGCAAGAAAAAACTTTGATAGAGGATTGAACCCGCAACCCCAAACACTTAAAACGGACAATTAACCAACACGCCATCAAAATATTACTGCCAAATGGTGTCATTTTGTTTTAGATAAACCTTATACAGAGTATTAATATATAGTAAAAAATTCTGCCGAAAGGGTGTCAATTGACACCCCTACACCTAACGTGGGTCTGCCCCTGTTTCTAGGTATTAACAATGCAATGGTCATAATGCATTAGCTCAATTAAAGACTCAATTGTCCCTCAAATTTCTTTTTACATCTTTTCCATCATAAAAGTGGAGGGTATCTTTGTAAATAATTTTTTTTATGCAATGCATGCTATTTTTAATGCATCAAACCAAACAATGCATAAAAATAATCTATGTATAATTAATGAAAGCATAGCTAATACATGCATTGCTAATACAAGCATTAATAATACACTCTATTTCACATTATTCTTATACACTATTAAACGACTCATATTCTAAAATGACTAGCTATTTTTTTTTTTGCTAGGCTTGTTCCGAAAAACTTGCTATTCATTTACCATTTTCATTTTTATGATTTTTAGGCAAACATGAAATATAATTTATACTCTTAAGGGGTCTTTTGTAGTTGACCATAGTTATACAAGTATTAGTAATATAAAAATTAATTATGAGAAATTTTTTGAAATATTAAAATAGTCTCAATGGTGGTATTTTGGGGAAGTTCTGAAATGCTTAAATAGTCTCAACTAGGGGTGAACCAAATTGAATCGAAAATTAAATCAAATCGCAAATCGAGTCACATCGGAAAAAATAATTCGACTAGTAATTTTGTTTGACTTGGTTTGATATTGAAAAAAAAATGTGACTATATTTGAGTTGATTTTAACAAAAAAAAAAAAGTCAAACCGAGATTAAACCAATTCGACATTATATATATAATTTTTAAAATTTATTTGATAAATAAAAGTATTTACTTTTATATAATTTATAAATATTTCTAATATTTTTTCATATTTTTTTTATCTTTTAACATGTTCTTTCAAGTTTGAGACTTGGTGATTTGAATGGTTCAATAAAAGTTATAGTTCATAGATATTAGTAATTATAATAAAACTCAAATAAGAAAATCAAATCAAACTAATGCTAACAAAAGAAAATCAATTCAACACTAAGAATGAATAATGTGAGAAAAGACCAAAATAGTCCTTCATCTTTGGATTAAGACTCAAAATCATCCTTGAGTTTCATATGGAGCATTAATAGTCCCTCATGTTTGCAATATTGGTGCACTTTTGGTCCTTCTCCAAAATTTTGCCTATTTTTTAACATTGATTTTATCCATAATTTATGTACGGAGTGTTCAATCGTCATTTTATATATTTAGTAGAAATAATAACTCCACGTGAGAGAATGTGAGAAAAAAAATACTTTATTTTGTTTAGTAGAAATCGTATTGCAGGAAAATTCGAGAGGTTCATCACGACGATTTCACGTGCCATAGTACAATTTTTTCTTTTCTTACAATGTCATATGTTAAAATATTCTTAGCTTAGCTGCAATAATATTTCTTCTAAACAGAACAAAGTGTTCTTCTTCTCACCTCCTCTCACATAGAATTATTATTTCAACTAAATATATAAAAAGACTATTGAGCATTCCTTACATAAAATTGTGGACAAAATTAATGTTAAAAAATATGCAAAAGTTTAGGGGAGGACCAAAAGTGCACCAATATTGCAAACATGAGGGACTATTAGTGCTCCATGTGAAAATTCAAGGATGATTTTGAGTCTTAACCCAAAGATGAGAGACTATTTTGGGCATTTTCTCCAATAATGTTGACTATCTATTCTTAGTTTACATTGATTTAGATAATTAAAAATGCATAACTTAATTTTAATGTTTCTTTAATATTTAGTCATGTAATTAATACTTATTAGACTTATTTTAGCATGATTTAATACTTTTAAATTATGATCATCTTCATTATGACTTATTAATTTGTAATATTTATTTTATGCGATTTTATTATTATTTTTTGTTGAATATTTTAGTGTCATAACTCACCTCATATTTTGTGTTACTCTATTTTCTTAAGAAGCATCTTATATAGTTATATTTTGGTAGAACTAAAAACTATTTGAAGCACGAGTTAATTATATATTTGTATGAATATTTTATCAAAAAAATCCAAAAAACTCAAGGTTGAAAAACTCATATTTTATTAATTTGGTTTATAGATTTGAAAACAACCACAGTCTTAACGTTCATATTTTGGGTCAAAATAAAGTCTTGAAGCTATTTTGGAATTTTAAGATTTGACTTTTTAAAATTTTAGAAAATAAATAAATTCTATAAACAGACAAATATTTTAAAAAGAATATAATGAAACTCACCTGATATTACAGTTCAACAACAATGTAAAGTTGACCACTATATATTCCTATCTATACAAGATAAAATTTAAAATATCTAATATCGTTGTAACATAAATTTCCTCATAAATAATGTATATATTACTATATACCTACATAATTATAGTACCAGTGGCGTACACATAAATTTTTATAAGCGGTGTATCATGACCCAGACCGTCGTGATTGGCACCCACACAAAGTCTCCGGTGGGAGAACCATCACTACAATCCAAACAAACAAAATTTAAGAAAACTAAGACATTTAAAGATACAAAAGCAAATTTAAATGCAGAAATTATATAGAGTTCTCATAAACTCCAAAGGTTTA